TATATATATATATATATATATTTAAAATTGTAACGTTTAAAATTGTAAAGATATCTGCATTTTTATAACTACTGAAGACAGCAGAAGTCAATAATTCATTTGTATAATTTAGCCTGACATGTTTACAGCACCAAAATATTTGAAATATTTCTCAAAATAAAATATATTATATTCAATTGGGAAAAAAGTTTTTTGGTTTTATCCAGACTTTTTAAAAGAACATATTTTAGAGCAGTTATCACTATACCGTGATACAGTGATATTTTTTTCTAAAGTTATCATACCACCAAAATCTTATATCAGCCCATGCCTAGTTTCAACTACCTTTTGTAAAAATATAAATACAAGTCAAATCATGTTACATCCATCCCTATTCAGTGTAACATATATGCTTGTAAAAATAACATTTACCTCATAAAATATAAATCCAATAAATGATCACAAAAAAAAGGTTATTAAATATGAAATTATTAAAAATGTCTTGCTAACAAATTTCCAAAACAGTCTTGTTAACAGACTTGTGAAAAAGAATATTTAACACGAAAATTGATTAATATTTTGAGTTTTTTTATAAACTGTTATACCAAAATAAATTTTATCTTATTTTATTTATTTTGTCTATAAATCATTAAAAACAGTAATTATTGTATCAGAAATAGAGAATAAATAAAAAAATAAAACTGAACACATTGTAATGTACCAGCCAAATAAAAAATTGATTACTTTTGGGTGTAATTTCCATCCCTGAGTTTACCGAAAATATCTGACTGCACATTTATGAAACATTTTCCATTATTTATTTGCTTTGAAACATATTAAACTCATAACCTTTTATTATCAGCTATGATAGTCCACGAGATTCATAGAAAGACACATTGCGACATGCTCAGCCATAAAAGGTGTTTTGAATAGACTATTAAAACTGCTTTTAAAAGTCATGGCAGTGTCTGACAAACACTGTAATCATGCCTCAACTCTACGTGCTATAATTGGAGCTGTTTTGCTCAAAGGTTCACCAATGTCAATTACGCAAGCAGCACTGAAGAATTCTTCATACAAACATCATAACAGAAGTGAGTAAAAAAAAAAAGAAATAGTTTACAGAGATTGCAAAAGGCTCAGAACACCAGTATCCTCTACTTTGGTTTCAGCTGAACGAGGAACTTTCTTTTTCTTTCAACAAGTACTGACACACATGAACAGGGGATCAGGAGTTCAGTCAGGAGTTCACAGAGGTTGCCGTCCATGTCAGTCTATCTTGAGAAATATGACCCTTCAAAGCATACGAACAATCTAAAGATAGCTGAAGAATTTTCCCTGTTTTATGATTATGAACTGAATTCCAGATCCAGACAATTAGAAAATACATCATATTATACTGTACATTTTAAACTTTAATTTTTTTTTTTTATGATTCTATGTTGTATGTTATTCTGTGTCTATGTTTAAAGATATTTTGAGTAAAATTTAAACCGAAATTGATCTAACAGTACATATATGAAGCTATATTTAATATAAGCACGCTAAAGATCCTCATAACTGTGTTTGTCTGCCACCCTCTGGTTAATTTAAGGGAATGCATGGAATTTTAACTATAAATTTACAAATTGGAATCTTCACAAGGTGGAAAAACCTACAAGCAACAATGCATTAAAGTTTGATGTAAACTGTAAGTTGATCTATTCAAATGTTTGGGTCAAACAGTAAAATTGAGAAATATTATTACCATTTTTTTGTAGCTTTTCTGTTTTAATACTATATTTAAGCTTGCAGTGAGAGTGGACGATTGTAATTCAAACAAATGGCGGTAAGGCTCAGCATGTTGTAATTTGAAGAAAAATAAAAATCCACTACACTAAAATGCAGCACTCCATACGCAGACTTAAGCCTTATTTACAATGTTTTCGTTCAGATTTACTGATATGTTTCATAGATTGTATGTAAAAAAAAAAAAAAAAAAAGAGAAAGATTGTATTTACTAATTAAAGTTTCAAATATTTTGTAACTTTGCAATCTTTAGATCAGGATTTTTAAAAATATGTCTGTCCATTATATGTTCAAAATCTGTAACGGAAATTAAATCTCCAGTAATGCTGATTTAACTTTTTTATATTAAAAATATATTGATGTACTAAAATATTGATGAAACAATTTCATATGCAGTATATACAGATCTTGAAGTTCTTGAGCATATAGCAGATGGAAAAATTCAGATTGAGACGTGGAGTGATGAGGAAGATGAAGATAAAGTTTATTACAAACAAGACATCTATACAACAAAAACCTCGTGCTTGTGATTTTGAAAAAGATTACACCAGCAATAATATATATATATATATATATATATATATATATATATATATATATATATATATATATATATATATATATATATATATATTATTGTATTCAATGTTGGTGTAATGTTTGGGAAATACAACTGTTCTGACCTGATGTCCATTGACCATAATAAATGTAATTTTTGATTTATACAGGGCTTAACATTAATGATTATTTCTAATGGTCTTTTAGACCAATGGATTTTTGCTTGCAACCATATGTAATTATTTCTTAGTAACATACTTTAATTTGTCAAAACAAGAAAACTGTAGTTGTACACATGTTATTCAACATAATATTCCGTTTTGACAAGTACATAACCTAAAGGAATATATTGCTTACTTATTATCATGAGGATGATCGTGTAGCTTCATTTGGCAAGGGAAAATTAATACCTGTTTAAAAATTATTTAGGGCACATAACACAACATTTCAATGAATTTAAGACTCTTTAAGGACTAAAATTTAGTTTTTGAAATGTAAGACTTTTTAAGACCCTGCAGATACCCTGTTAAACGGTGTTGAATTTTTATTGTTATATATTGGTCTCATTTATAGGAGCCTCAAGAACTGTGAAAACATAATTTTACATTTTTACGTAAATTGGAACATAATTCAAGTCTGAAGGGGATAATTAATTACATTTAGGTATTTTTATGCGTTTTGACTTGATTCACTTAAATGTTAGTACATAGTAGTTAACAACACTTAGTTTACCATATCACCCTAAAGACACGAACACACACGTTTTACTCAACACAATTTTCACTGTCAGCAAGGACTCAGGGGAAACTGAATGATTAAATCTCAAAGATGATCACGTCCTCATTCCAATTAACTGTCAGCATTTCCTGGGAGAGAGAGCAGAACCTGGCCCAGATCTACAGTCTACCCCCACACCGCAGTTCAAGCAGAGCTGGTCCAAAGTGCAGCAGATGGAGTTTAAATAGGCAATTGCTTTTGATAAGCAGAGGTTGGTGGTTTATTATATATATACCTGAAACAGGAAAATAGACAAAAACTGCACTGTTCAAATTGTCAGATCTCAGTTGTTGATCAGATCCAACATTGTCCAACAACTGCATTGTTTGGCTACACAGTATATGTCTGAACTAGGTACTCCCCTTCACGTGACCTCCGTTCCTCTGACTCTGGTCTTTTAAGAGTCCCCTCCACTCGTCTGTGCTCTATGGGTGACTGGGCTTTCGCATCTCTGGCTCTGAGGCTCTGGAACTCTCTCCCCTATGACATTAGACACGCTGAATCTTTTAATTTGTTTAAATCATCCTTGAAAACTCACTACTTTACACCCACCAACTCATGAGGTGTGCATTCTTGGTTTGTTTTATGTTTTAAGATATTTGAATGTTTTAGCATTTGTGAATGTTTTATCTTGAATGATTCAATTTTAATATTATTCTAAACTGTTTTATTTCTGTAACTTTTTTGTCTAAACCCCTTTGAAAATTAAGTTTTAAAGGCGCTATATAATAATAAATTATTATTCAATAGGATAAGAGTTATATTTCTATAGAACAAACTATTGATTTTATATTTTTGCATTTATGAGGAAAAAGCTTCGTTATAAATGTGGCAGACTTGAAACTGCCAGATAGATAGATAGATAGATAGATAGATAGATAGATAGATAGATAGATAGATAGATAGATAGATAGATAGATAGATAGATAGATAGATAGATAGATAGATAGATAGATAGATAGATAGATAGATAGATAGATAGATAGATAGATAGATAGATAGATAGATAGATAGATAGATAGATAGAATAGAATAGAATAGAATAGAACTACTCTTCAAGTCCAAACAGAACCAGAATGTGAACAGTGCTTAGATGTTTAATGCATTACTAAGATTAAACGCGCAAAGGATACCAAGTCTTGTCCAGTGGTTTGTCCAAAAAATGTCTCGCTTATAAGACACACACCCACTGACAGAGAGGAGCACCAAGCAAATCAAAGCACAAAACAAATTCCAATCACTTAAGGCTTAAATTCCCCAGCAGAACACAACACAACAACAAACGCAAACAGAACTGACACAGCATAGGAGCGATTGCACGAGTTCGCGTGACAGCTTCCTGTGGCCTTGACTGGGAAGCATCCACGCCTTGTATATCGCGACGCACGAAACACCGCCCGCCTCTCGCTGGCACCCCCAAACGCAGGCGGTGATTGGGCAGTGCAAATGTCTCAACTCCCCTCGTCCGCCGAGCACCGGTTGAGCACATTCTGTCACTTGCGCTAGCGTTAAATGGAGGAACGTCCCTGCGAAGGGGCAATCGGAGTATTTATCAGCCATGGAGCAGAGAACAGCCCTGATCGATCGAACATATCGGTAAACAATGATCAGAACCACAGTCAGTTCAAGAACGAGAAAACGCAGACGAAGAAAACAGGTTGGTAAACCAGCAGCGCTCGTTGTGTTTTTCTTTGACAAGCTTCAAATGTACGCGTTTACCTCATCGCAGCTTAAACTGAGTGTAATGCGTTGTATTTTATGCTGACCGCACTGTTTGGAATAGTTACAAACAACGTTAGCCGCAAAGCTAGTTAGCGTGAAGGGACATTGACCTTGTGCACCGGTCTCTCGGCACGCATTACACATTTCTCATATACAAAATTAATTCCCAAACATACCTCTCCATTTGGGCCGTTTTAAAGAGCAAAGCGTCCATCAGAAATCAGCATAGCCAGTTAGCTCTGCCCCGTCGCTGCCACAGCAACATGAACCGGCTCCTGTGGAATGTTCCTGCTCGTAGCTTAAGCTTGTTCTGTTATTTCCTGTCCGCCATGATGGACGGCCAAATCTCAGAAACTTCACCGCTACCCGTTTATCTTGCAAAACCGAATGTTTTGGCCAAACTGTTTGGAGAGCGTCGTTAGCTCTGTTCGCTTTTGATGCCCGGGTCATTATTAGTGTTGCTGAGGGGTGTTTGTTTCTGCAGTTTAGCTGGAAACGAGGCCTATTGCTCTTTGACAGTCATGTGAGTGGGCCTGGCAGAGACTGGGCTCGCGCTTACCGCTGATTCCAACTCGGCACCAAGTGGCCTGAATAGAACGCGACGGAAAATTCTATACCCGTTCAAACACAAACGTTCCAGAACCCTAAATAGAAGCAGTCGGAAAATCCTATACATAAACGGCCAACGTGCGCGAGTCTGCGTGTACACCCACATAATCAATTTCAAACAATTAACATTTGCCTTCACTTATTGTGAAGTGTATTTTCTTGACTATTTATCATTGATAATCCTTGTATGAAACACCACAAGTAAGCGCCCCATGCCACGACAAATGCTTTTAACTTATGTTGAATGTTTGATATTAATCAAAAGTGACACTATTTATTTAGCGTATTTTACTCATCGCTTAGTGTTGGAATGCACAACCGGACTTTGTGTTGGACCGTGGCAACGTTTGATGTGGAGCCAGTGTGGAACGGCTCTGTTAGCTATTGTGACATGGAAACTGTGCTACACCGCTACATGTCGCATAAATCGATCATAATTGATGGATAAAACGTCTTGTAACTCCTTTTCCAATGTGTATTTGTAGTTGTCACTTTACAAACTCGTCATAACATATAAACAGTCAGAGCTGCATGCGGCTAATCTATCGGGCTGCACTCTTAGCATGCTAAGCTATCTGATGACTTGGCCGGTTTGTTGATCGAATACGCACTGGTTGTCAAGAGTTAAGTCTTGTTTAGGTAAACATGGTTTAAATAAACCGTTAAAATTGCAAAAGTTATTTCATGTAATTCGGCATAAATGTTGCTCGCTGTCATGCTGCGATTTAACTAGGTTAGCCTAATGTTAACTTACACAATAGTGTGACTTTACTACACAAACAAGCGCTCACGCCTAGGATAAAACGGGTTAAAGTGCTTTGACCTGTGTTTTTCATTAATTTCAGCGTTTTAAGACGTGTCCACCAATACTGGGAAACTACCCAAATATGACTGAGTACTCCATTTTGACACGTCATACCTCCGGTTAAAAATAGGGCGATGTCAGACTTTAGCCGGCCGATGAAAGCACGCTTACAAGGGTTACTCTCTGCACTCCTCATATTTTCAGGCTTAAAGGACATAGGTCGTAAACACCCGTTTAAAACACAGAATACATTTATTACCGCATTTATGTAATTCGCTGTTGATTTGGGGTGTTGTATTGCCCCGTTGCCTCCGATTGTTTACATATACTGTGCAAAAATAGATCATGTCCGGTGTGAATTCATTTAAATCTGTGTACCAAGTTTTCAATATTGTATTATTGCTGATGCCAGTGCTGTGAGGACATACCTTAAGCTGTCATAAATAGTTTCCATAGAAATTATGAAGCCAAGCAGACCATCTCATGCCACTTGTCTAGAAATAAAAAAAAAACATAAGTTTATTTTTTAATCCAAACACTTCAAATTATGATTATTCTGTTGCGAACAACTACATTGAACATATAATAATTATTCTGTGGTGTAACATTATGCAAATTGAGGGGGTGTTTTTTCCTAGAATAAAAAAAAATTCTCACTTTTCAGGAAAATAAGCAGCTCATTACTTCTCAACAATGCTTCTTGAGCACCAAATCAGCACATTTTAGTGGTTTCTGAAATGTCATGTAACACTTATTACTAGAGGAATAGCTGCTGAAAGTTACATTTTCCATTGCAATAATGACAGGAAGGACCTTTCCCCCTTTATTTCTCTCTCGGTGTATTTTGATAAATGTTTATTATTAACAGCTTATTTAAAACTTACACATTTATAGTAGACTTATTTTGAAAACCCCAGATTTTCACTTTATTTTATGAACTGTTTGAATGTGGGATAGTAATGACTATCAGATTTTTCAAGATTTGAGTCATCCTAATCTGCAGTTTTTCATTGTAAGTTCCAGAAGGGAGTTTGTCATCAGCCTGACCCTGGCTTGGTTCCACTGAACATACCTAGTCTAAATATTTCTTGATCTTGTGCAAACATTGACTAGACTTGACCTGTTCTCTTACTGGAGCTTGAGATCAGATCTGGACATTGGCCATCAATTGTTTGTTTAGTGGATCAATTGATACAGATTTGCATTTTGTGTATTTATTGCTTTTGTTTCTTCTCTATGCAGAAAATGGCAAAGTAAATGGAACTTTGAAGGAGGGAGAGGTGACTCCCACATCCTTTAAACCAGACAGCTCCCTGCACCCTGCAAACAGCAATGGCGAAAGACACCTGCTAGACATCAACTTGAAACAGAAGCCCACTCGACGGGCTTTCACTGCTGACTCCACAGGGGACAGAAAAGTTAGAAACACTAGCAGAAACAGCATGGACTTCAAAAATGACAAGTCCTCAGAGTTGAACACACTTGAGGGCAAAAAAGAGGTTTTGGCTTCTCTGAATGGTGTGATTTCGATCAACTCTGTACCACTTACCAATGGTTACCCTAGCAAACCTGGAGCTGACAATGATGGCAGTGGCTCTGAGAGTGGATACACTACACCCAAGAAGCGTCGGGCCCAGAGGAATGGCAAAGCTGGAGACAATGTGACTGCTTCTGCCCAGGGAAAAGCCATGCAGCAGGGCGGCAAACAAGAGCATGGGCCTTTGGCACTGGAGTCAGCCTCTGGTGCTCAAGTGGAGAGTGGCAGAGGCGGTTCAAAAGCTGAGCCCTACCTAAAAGCCAAGGAACCACCTGCGTGTGCCACCCCACCACCTCTGCCAGTGACTGAACTTCAACGCAAAAACTCAGACAGCAAGGCAGCTGGCAAACGGTTCGAGGATCGCTCAAGCAAGGTTAAGGTGGCTAGCTCCACCAAAGAGGACTCATGGACCTTGTTCAAGCCTCCGCCTGTCTTTCCTGTGGACAATAGTAGCGCTAAGATTGTGCCTAAGATCAGTTATGCAAGCAAAGTAAAGGAGAACCTCAATAAGACTGCCCAAGCTGGCGGGGAGGCTCTCACTCCTGCTCCCCAGGTGCCTGGGAGACCACCACAGGTCCCCATGTCAGCGGTGAAAACCATCACCTCGGCTAGCTTTACCAACGGTCCCCTGCCGGGGGAAGGGAATGGCTGTCCCCTGCCCGGCCCCCATTTCAGCTCTGGTCCTCTACTGGCGACCCCAACTGTTGCCACTGAGAATGTAGCATCTCCCCCTGGTAGCGGCACTATGGCCATTGGAAGTTCTACCACCTCTTTGGCTGAGCCCAGGAAGCCCAGCTTATTTGTTTACCCCATCACCCCCTCCAATATGCAACTTTCTCTCCCTAGCGGCCGCCAAGCCGATCCCCCTGCTGCTCCGACAAATCAGAAGTCTCTGGGGGATATTTTTCAGAATCAATGGGGCTTGTCCTTTATCAATGAACCTAGTGCCGGACCAGAAGGTGTGGCATGTCGCTCAAACGGGAAGGACGTGCTGACGGAGGTGAGCTTTCAGGGAGGCTCTCCTGTGGCCACTCAGACCTCCAGTACCTCTCAGAGACCGGATCAACCACCCTTCACCAAGGCTCATGAGCCAGACAAACGGACTAATGCTCAGAGTCGAAGTGTTTGTGGAGGTGCCACGGCGGCAAGTGGGGCCGTACCCGAGACCTTTGTCCTCAGCCTTGATACCCAGAGAGATGAGACGGGGGTTCATGGAGCAATAGTGTTTTGTTCTTCCTCTAAGGACATTTGTGCCGAGCTGCCTCCCTCCTCTCCAGCTGCACCTAAGGTGGCTTTGGCCAAGGACCAGGGCCATGCTAAGGGCTTTGACAGGAGGTCTAGTTGGGGGTCGTTTGATCTAAAAGCTGCTGTAATTTATCACACTAAAGGTAATTACTGTTTTATCACCTTGCAAAGTACAGTCTCTTCTTGTATTACATTTTTAGCATTTGTTAAAATGTGCACAATACATTGACTGCTATTTTATTAAGTTTTTGAGTAAATGTCTGAGTACACGGAGATTGATAGAACCAAACCCTGGCCTTACTTTTTTTTGCTATATGCTTATCTGTACATCAAAATACTCAAAAAGGCGCTTTAGAGAACCACTGTTTGGTGCTATTATGGTCAGGCCACCTTAAAAGGCCTTCAACCCTCAAGTGTCAAAGTTTTATATTCGATCAATTTAAGACATTTTTTGCTATTTCTGCACAGAATTTAGTAAAAAAAAAAAATGTAGATTTATACAGAATGATTTTGGGAGTATAACAAAAAAATGAATATATGTGAATAAAAATTTATATTTAATGTTTACGTTACAAGTCCAATTAGATATTACTTTATATTACTGTATACTACTTTATAAACTGTATTGTCAATAAATCATATGAAAATTTTCATATTAGTTATAATAATTGCAGATTTCTGTGTGCGCAGATTTTGTGTAGACCTAGTTTTCAGGCTTTCTCTAATTTATAAAAAGTTTGCTTTGTATTATAAGTTAGTAGGGGTGTAAGGGTTTTCTGTAACAATTTCTTACTGTTCTCCAACCAAAGTTCGGCACATGCTTACCCTGCCATTAATGTAACAGCAAGTTTAACAAACATTGGCTAATGAATGTATATGGACCATATACAGTACATCATTACATTTGTGTTTAAATTGAATTCATTTAAGTTTTGTAATTTAAACATCGTAGCTTAAGATCTAAAGAGAACTCGTGTTTGAGTTTTAAGAAGGACACACTTCAACAACCATTTTTGAATAGAAAGCTGGACTACACAAATTGAGTCGTGTGTTTAAAAGGACAAATTATCACAAAAAAACTCATAAAACATCATATTCCTGTTGTCTGTGTTTTTAATGTTAATCAAGCAACAAAGAAATCACTCTGTTCTTTTGTAAATAGCTATTGTAACTTTAATAATGTTTTTATTGAAACTATTGAATTTATATAATGAAGTGTATGTGCAATTTTATCTTTTATTGTAGTATTTAATTTCTCTACCTGAAGAATGAAACTAGGCATGGGCCAGTATAAGATTCTGATAGTATGATAACCTTGGATAAAAATATCCTGGCATCACGGGGTTGTGATTACTACTCCACAATAAGTTATTTTTAAAAGTCTGGGTACAAAAAATAACTTTTTCCTCCACATTAAACACAATATATTTTATTTGAAGAAATATTTAAAATATTTTCAACTAGTAGCTTTTGATGTAGAGGTTCAGTTTCTGCTAGAGATACTGTTGCCTGAAAAAACTAAATAAAATAGTTGTGAAAAACAGGTAAAAAAAAAAAAAAGACCTTGCATATACCTTAGGAACGGTATAACAGAATACTTTGGCGGTTTTAAAACCTTGAATTTTCCAAACTGTGGTAAATCTTAAAATCGGATATCGTCCCATGCCTAAACGCAACTATCATTTCAGTCAGCTTTTGTCTGTTTAGTGTGTTCATGTGCCACTTTTTGGTCCACAAGGTGATGCAACAACACAGTTGGGTTTGTTTGGTTCTAGTTATTTTGCATCAGCTTGGTGTCTCCTGGCCTTCTCAAATTAGAATGTTAAAGGTACAGATTACCCACAAATGAAAATTGCCTCATTTACTTAGTTGGTTCTTTCTTCTGTTGATCACAAAAGAATACATGCTTGCATTTACTATGCAAGTCAACAGATCCCAGCATCCAGCATTTTTCAATATATTTTCTTTTGTGTTTGACAGGAGAAAGAACCTCAAATAGGTTTTAAACAAGCGAAGGCTGAATAAATGACGTCAAAATTTACAATTTTGGGTGATCTCTCCCTTTAAGGATTATTTTATGAAGACAAAGCTTGATTGTCATAAAAAATACATATGTTTTATATCATTATTAATGTCTCCCATGTGAACTATCCCAATTGCACGCAATACATAAGTGTTATTTCAGTGTGGCTATATAAAGCAACAAAACAGCAGTATTTTGAAGCCTTCTGTTAGTTTAATTGGAAACACCTCACTCCTTGGTTCTTTGAAGTCAAAATAGAAATGACAGATCTTGATTGAATTGTAGTTGTGCTTGGATATTTTTACACTGAACTTTGTTCTTGCTCTTCTTTGCAGAAATGGAATATATTTTGAATTTGCAAAAACAAGGTAAGCCTCCATTTATTTATATACAACCTTCCACAGCATGTGATTAAACCCTTAAATGATTCAGCGTTTAGATATTGCCCCATCTGCTCACATCCTTCAACCCTCCCCATGTTGTTTTCTATCTCTCACCTACAATCTAACTTTCCCCAGATCCAAATCGAGTAGTCCTCTTCAGTGAGTCATGGGACGGACCTGCTCAATGAGGCTGTGTCTGGACACTATATCTCAGATGAACTCTGCTGCAAAACGATGCGCTTGAGGAACATGGCTGCTGCCTCTGAACATCCCGAATCAGAACTAATCCAATCTTGAGATGGTTTAGAAAGGACCTTGTTACCAGTCAGCAGTCAAGGATGTGCGCAGAGGAACAGAGAAAAACGGGTTAGCTGATTTTAGAATATTAGAACGGGAGCTGTGGAACTCAACTCTGACGCGTTCTAGTGGATATGTTGCTGAAGACAATTGAAATGGCTTTTGGGGGACATACAACTCACGGCAAACACTCATGAAAACCCTGTCATGACATTGGATTAGGGCGGAAGCTTCTCCTTTAAGTACTCACGGACCTAAAGAGAGCGTCCTGGAGGAAGACATGTCACCACGTGTCCCCTTTTGAATTCAAATAATCATGTAGACTCAAAGGGGTCACAATGAATTCATTTGGGCACAGAACCGAAGAGTGTCACTCAACAGTGAACTAACATACTGTGGCCAGAGGAACTACATGGCTTTTCTTTTCTTTTTTCAGGGGAATCGAGCTCCAAATATGTGTGTGGGGGCAGTTAGTTCAAGCCTTTGGGATTAAATAATTGTCTTAATTTAATTTCCGGACAAGATTGGGTCAGTCCTGTTAGAAACACGTCTCCATTTGTTTGTCATTTTATTTTGTTTTTATCGAAATACTTAACTCCCAGGGCAGGTTATGAGGTACACTTGGATTGGGAAAGCGTACACCCTGTAGTGTGCATGTGCAGTATGCTGCTCTGTGCGTCCTCTTATGGAAGAGTTCAAAGTGCTATCGTTCTATAGTCTTATTGTCGTCTCTTCACGCTTCTGTCACATG